ATATATATATATATATATGTGTGTGTGTGTGTGTGTGTGTGTGTGTGTGTGTGTGTGTGTGAAAATATATAGAAAATGGGAAAGAACTCGTTAGGTAAATAATCCAAAGTTCTTTTTTAAAAAAACAGTGCTCGATACAAAAATAGAGCCTCATATTTTTAAATAAATAATTACATAATATATATATATATATATATATATATATATATATATATATATATATATAGTGGCGTTAATGTAAGTTTGTAACACTGGCCTTTTACGCTCGTCAAACTCAAACGGAAAATGCGTGAAACCCAGGGTCACAAACTCACATCAACGCAACTAAATATGTTCGCTCTATCGGTGATACTGAGAGCTTTCCAATAAGTACCATGTATATATAATATCTTCTAATGGTACTAAAATTTGATTACCTAAGATTGGATATGCTGAATCGTATATAATGATTCTATATAGAGTATAAGGCTGACCTATATACATATGTATGTGTGTATCTCCTCACGCATACCTAAACTAACACTTATATACATACACACCCCTATACTTGCATACATACACCAGCACTCGCATATATCCGCATATGCATCCAAATTTAAGAACTTATTTAATCTTCCAAAACATGTTGTTACATGATATTTAATTAGTCCAGAGATTATCTAATCGTTTAGTATTATATCGTAATCCATTTGGTGGAGATTTAATGCCTATATGTACTGGATAATCAAGGATAACTAAATAGATAAACTCAAGGATGGGAAAAGGAAATCGAAATAATTTTAGGACAACCGAAGCAAAGAAAAAGGGAAGCTTTCGTGGGGATATTATTGATAGTCATCAAGAATTATTGGTGACTTAGTGAGGGAGGAGTAATACGTATATGGACGGAAGCAGATAGGAAATTGGTAAGGGTATAAACGGAGGGGAGTAGTTAAATATGCAGTGTAGCAGTTAATTGATCAGTTCATTTTCTTGTTAAGGGATAATAGTTCAATTGAGTTCAGGTCCGAACTGGGGACGGGCAGAGATTCCCAGGTGCATGTCTTCCTATGACAGTTCAGGCTGGATCGATAGGAGTTTACGTAAGCTCAAATATCCTGCGGTGACGGCATTTGGAAATTTGTTCGTTCCCTTGATTTAAGAGTACCTTTTGATTTTCAAATTTGATGATTTTAATTTTCTCCGGTAAGCATAGATTGCATTTACCTTTAAAGCTATTAAGAGTGCGGGCAAACCCTAGTATTTTCCAGTCAATCTGAGGGTTTTGTTTTTTCTCCCTCAATTCCCAAAATGTTTTGGAAAGTGTAATTTGGCATTTCAATTCAGGGTTGAAAAATGAGTGCCGATGGATATATAGACGCCGCTTCCATTCACCTGCGTAAATTCCAATATAGACAAATTTGGAGTCCTTGTTCCCTTTGTGGTAGATTGTTGCCTGGTAGATCACGTTAGATGCCCTACATTTACCATCTACTGGGCAAATATCTTGGTTTCTACAGTTACAAGGGGAAGCTATACTAAGTGAAGTTTTTCTGTCGTAAAACTTATTAAGGATAGTTCTATTATGGGAATTGATAATTTTCCCTATATTATTTGTACAAGAATAAATAATTTTGACTGTTCTTCTATTAAAGACTTTACTTAGGGTTTGGTTATTTTCGAAGTGTTTATTTATTAGTTTTAAGAACTTATAACCAATGTTATTTTTTAATAACCTACAGAAGTGGGGTGGTGAACCATATTATATTTCTTTTTCTATTTCTGTGCTTATTACTATTCTTATCTGCATTAGTGTTACTTATGGTGTTTAAGTATTAAAGTTTATTCTTAAAGCCACTTTTGGAGTGCCTTCTCGTAGAGTCCTTTGTTTTTATTAAAGATATATTTATTGGAAGTTAGTTTACTAATGCAAGTACCAACCGTGTTGGGTATCTGCTTTCAGATATTATTTGGGTGGTTTGAAGCCTACATTAAGGTAGTTCAGAGTTTCATGGTCTTTATTTTAGCTCTGTTTAATGAAAATAAACACTTTTGTGAGTCAGTTTTAACATAATTCAAATTCTATGTTGTATTAATAGGACTCGCTTAAATTATACCAACGTATTACTACCTATATATATATATATATATATATATATATATATATATATATATTCACACACACATATATATACACACATTATATATATATATAATGTATGTTTTTAGGCAGCATTTTTTCATTAATGCATGTTTCAGTAAATAATATAGACAAGTTTTTTCTATTTATTTTAAGTAAATTTATTTCATATTGTCGAATAAGCTTTTTAGCATTATCGCTGAAACACAAAATAAATCACCATGCTTATATCAACGGCTTTCCATACTTAACACTTTTCTTCAATATTTCCTCTCACGTGGTCATGTGTGATGTCATGAACCGAAATGCGATATTTGCTTCCAGCGTTTCATATGCACGAATTTTATTGTTGGATAGCAATCTTCCATGCAAGGAAAAAACTATCATTGTTGCAATGTCTACATAACCATTCTAAAAATAATTACCATCTTTGTTATATAATTTAATATTTAATTTATTGTAATGTACTTGTAATCTCTGATTTATTGTAATGTACTTGTAATCTCTGAGAAAGGTTACACAGGATTAACAGTAAAAACATGTATCAACATGGTCATTTTTTTCGTGTTTCAGCGATAATGCTAAAAAAGCTTATTCGACAATATGAAAGAAATTTACTTAAAATAAATAGACAAAACTTGTCTATATTATTTAATGAAACATGCATTAATATATATATATATATATATATATATATATATATATATATATATATATATATATATATATGAAATGATTAAGTCCAACGATTATTTAATATATTTTCTGTTGATACGTTATTTTAATAGATCCAATTTATTTAAGTAAAAGCTCTGTTTTTAAATTTATAGAATTAATTATAATTACCGGTTTGAATGTTCGAGAACGCATATTTTCTACGAAATTTACCGAACATTCAGCCAGGTCACTATATGTAATTAATACTGTTTATTTAAAAAGAGCATTTACTTAAATAAATTGTACCCAATAACATGACGTTTCGAGAGTATATATATATATATATATATATATATATATATATATATATATATATATATATATATATATATATGTTATATGTATATATATATATATATATATATATATATATATATTCTTGCTTATATATATATATATATATATATATATATATATATATATATATATGCATACATACATATATATATATATATATATATAGATAGATATAGATATATGTATGTATGTATATATATATATATATACATCCTTGCTTCGCTGAAATAATTAAGAAAAATAAAATTTGCTTCACCTGATCACAACTCCGACGTCGAACGGCAAAAGTAATAATAATATCCCCTCAATTCATTGTTTCTGATATCGAACTATACGAGTATTTACATGTGTAGCCGATCCTAGACTATCACCAGTGGAGAGTTCAACTGAGAGACGGTAACTACAACGAATTTTGATTGGTTGTGGATGAAATGTGCTCGCGTGCTGAAAATACTAGCGGTCAACACCGACTTGGAGCAAACATCATTGCCGTGTCATCACTAATCTAGAGGTCAGTGATGACACGGTATCTAAAGTCAAGAGCCAAAAGAGAAAAGTTCCTCCGATGGCATCATCGACCACATGTCCGTGACCAAGGCAAGATTTCGAGGACATCAGCTGTATTCTAACCTCAGCATGGATGGGCTCCGTCAGGTCTACTTGCCCAACACATGCTACAAATGAATGAATCCCTCCCCGGTTTTAAATCCGGATATTGGCGCGCAAAAGAAGCATGTGGTGGAAACTGTTTATGTGCTTAGATGCGAAGCTACCCCTTGACCCTACGACCATAAACGGTCACGGAACTGATGATGATGATGATGATGGTGGTGGTGGTCTAGAGTAGTGTTTGCCAATCTTTCTTTTTTTAATCTAGGGCGAACTTGTAGAATAACTAAAACTCTGGATCGCACTTTAATTTTTAAATAAGGAAAAATTAGTGATAGAATTTGAAAATATGAATGTTTGGTTTAGCACTCGCAAAGATTTATGGTACAGTTTTCATTTAAAAGGGGTTTAAACCTGCATTTTTTTTTTTAGAGAAAGAGGCAGATAATGAATGATTTAAATCCCTTGAAGGGAAAGGATTCTTCACTCTTTAAAGATTAAGGAATTTAGAATCCAGTTTAAAATATCAAATGACAAAGATTTCCGCTAACTGGGTGCACACCTGGTTACCTTTCAGGGTGCACACCTGGCTACCTTTCAGGACGCACTGATTTAGAAGCACTGGTCTAAAGAGTTTCAGTTATTTACCAAATTCCCAAGATATTTTTCTAGTTTTTCAATTTTCTTTTTCTGACCTTACAAGGGCTGTATATGGTCTCTTATTCTGGAAAGCGTAAAGAGTTATGGATTTCCAAATTTCTGTAGAATTTTTCCACTTCTCTTCAACAGCTTCCTGTTTGTCCATAATTAAATTCCAGTCGTTTCAACATTTTCCAGCGGATCACCTTTCCCACACACTCGTGCGTTCTCAGATCTTATTTTTCATTCACTTATGTAATCGATTATTTAATCACCATACAGTCGGCCTCCTGTGCCTCGTTTATCTCCCTTCTTTTCGATGTTCTGATACACTTGTTCTGGCTGCTACTGATTCCGTTTCTATTTTCAATTCTCCTCTGCGCGACCATAGTCATTTCATTTACAAATGCTTTTGTTTGCCTGTCTGAATCTCAATGTAATGTTTTCTTATTATTTTCAGTTTTTTTTTTTTGGTGGGGGTGCTTTTCGATCAACAATTCTTTATTCGGTTTTATTGCAATCGGTGGTTATTATTATTATTATTATTATTATTATATAATTCTAATTGTCGATTTATTTGTTGCGATTCTTGGGCGTTGTCTCGGCGGTAACCAATCACCAACAAACGTTTGAACTTTTCAGGAAAGAAAGGAGAAAGAAGAGAAGCAGAAGAAAGAAGGATGCGGTAACAGATGAGATAAAATTTGAGATACATAGAAAAAAGAAAGAAAGAAAGAAAGAAAGAAAGAAAGAAAGAAAAAAGAACGGTCAAAATATCAAAGAAAGAGAAAAAAAAATAGATATATACAAAGAAGAAAGAAAGAAAGAACTATCAAGATATCAAAAGAAAGAGAAAATTTAAGAAACACAGAGAAAAGAAAGTCATTGGAGCAATGAAATACAGAAGAAAAAACGAAGAAAGAAAGAACGATCAAAATATAACAGAAAGATAGAAAATGAATAAAATTAGAAAATGAATGAAAAGAAAAAGCAAAATCAGATCAAAGAAAGAAAGGAAAATGGAAAATAAAAAGATCAAAAATGAAGCAAAACAGTTGATGATGATGATGATCATGATGATGATGATGATGATGATGCAGGTTATCATGTCCACAGGTTGCAAGAAATCCGACGAAAGAATTATAGAAGATCAAAGAGAAAAAGATAGAAAGAACGCAAGATGAAAAAGAAAGAAAGAAAGAAAGAAAAAAGAAAGAAAGAAAGAAAGAAAGAAAGAAAGAAAGAAAGAAAGAAAGCGAGCTAAATTGAGAGGGAATGTATGCAAAAAATATTTGTCTTAAAAAAAAACTATTATGATCCACAAGAGTGTAACATGGGAAAGCAAAACGTTATCGGAGTCTTAATAAAATAAAATATCCAAGGACGACGAATGGCCGACTTTCTAGAAATTCCCAAACACAAGATATTCACATGAAGAAAATCGATAGGTTTTTCGTATCATAAAAAAATAGTTAAACCATTTTAGGTCCAGCCATGTTTTAATTCGACATTTTTCATTTGAAAGAATTCGAATAGTTCTTCTTCTTTCATACTTCTTCATCTTTTTTCTTCAACATCCCCCTCTCTCCTTCTCTCTCTCTCTCTCTCTCTCTTACTCGCCTCCTCAACAATTCTTTTCTTTATTTTGCTCCAGCTCTTTTCGCTTTGCATTTTTTATTCTATCATAATTTCATTTATCTTCTGTCTTCCTCCTCCTTTTCACAATTTTGTTTTCATATCGGTCATCTGCTATATTTCCCTCTTATTCTTAATATTTCAAATTCTCTTCTTCTTCGTTCATATTCCACATTTCTCCTTTCAAATTCTATTCTTATCCTTCGATATTTTTCATTTTTTCTTCTACTCTTCTTCGTTCGAATTCCACATTTGTTTTTCTTTCAAATTCTATTCTTCTTTCTTATTGTCAACTTATTCTCATTCTCTTCTTCTTCCGTCATATGTTTCATTTATTCTTATTCTATTATTCAACCATATTCTATACTTCCTTCATATTCTCCATTTATTCTTATTCTATTATTCCACCATATTCTATACTTCCTTCATATTCTCCATTTATTCTTATTCTATTATTCAACCATATTCTATACTTCCTTAATTCTCCATTTATTCTTATTCTTTATTTTATACTACCTTCATATTCTCCATTTATTCTTATTCTATTATTCAACCATATTCTATACTTCCTTCATATTCTCCATTATTCTTATTCTATTATTCAACCATATTCTATTCTTCCCTCATAGTCTTCATTTATTCTTTATTATTCAACCATATTCTTACTTCCTTCATTTTTATTCTTATTCTATTATTCAACCATATTCTATACTTCCTTCATATTCTCCATTTATTCTTATTCTATTATCAACCATATTCTATAATTCCTTCATATTCTCCATTTATTCTTAATCTATTATTCAACTATATTCTATACTTCCTTCATATTCTCCATTTATTCTTATTCTATTATTCAACCATATTCTATACTTCCTTCATATTCTCCATTTATTCTTATTCTATTATTCCACCATATTCTATACTTCCTTCATATTCTCCATTTATTCTTATTCTATTATCAACCATATTCTATAATTCCTTCATATTCTCCATTTATTCTTAATCTATTATTCAACTATATTCTATACTTCCTTCATATTCTTTTATTCTTATTCTATTATTCAACCATATTCTATATTCCTTCATATTCTCCATTTATTCTTATTCTATTATTCCACCATATTCTCTATACTTCCTTCATATTTCCATTTATTCTTATTCTATTATTCAACCATTTCTATAATTTACTTTCATATTCTCCATTTATTCTTATTCTATTATTCTTACCATATTTTGTATTCATATTCTCCATTTATTCTTATTCTATTATCAACCATATTCTATACTTCTTCATTTCTCCATTTATTCTTATTCTATTATTCCAACCATTTCTATACTTCCTTCATATTCTCCATTTATTCTTATTCTATTATTCAACCATATTCTATACTTCCTTCATATTCTCCATTTATTCTTATTCTATTATTCCATTTCTATACTACCTTCATTTCTCCATTTATTCTTATTCTATTATTCAACCATATTCTACCCTTCATTTCTCCATTATTCTTATTCTATTATTCCTTCTTCCTCATATATTCAACCATATTCTATACTTCCTTCATTTCTATTATTCTATTCTATTCTCCATTTATTCTTATTCTATTATCATATTTATTCTTAATCTATTATTCAACTATATTCTATACTTCCTTCATATTCTCCATTTATTCTTATTCTATTATTCAACCATATTCTATACTTCCTTCATATTCTCCATTTATTCTTATTCTATTATTCCACCATATTTATACCGCATTTCTCCATTTATTCTTATTCTATTATTCAACCATATTCTATAATTCTTCCTATTCTCCATTTATTCTTAATCTATTATTCAACTATATTCTATACTTCCTTCATATTCTCCATTTATTCTTATTATTCAACCATTCTATTATTTATTCTTATTCTATTATTCCAACTATTCTTCCTTCATATTCTCCATTTATTCTTATTCTATTTATTTCTTATTTCCTTCATATTCTCCATTTATTCTTATTCATACCATATTTATTCTTATTCTATTATTCCACCATATTCTATAGTTCTTCATATTCATTTATTCTTATTCTATTATTCAACCATATTCTATAATTCCTTCATATTCTCCATTTATTCTTATTCATTATTCAACCATATTCTATACTTTCTCCATTCATTCTTATTCTATTATTCAACCATATTCTATACTTCCTTCATATTCTCCATTTATTCTTATTCTATTATTCAACCATATTCTATACTTCCTTCATATTCTCCATTTATTCTTATTCTATTATTCAACCATATTCTATACTTCCTTCATATTCTCCATTTATTCTTATTCTATTATTCAACCATATTCTATTCTTCCTTGATAGTCTCCATTTATTCTTATTCTATTATTTTAACCATATTCTATACTTCCTTCATATTCTCCATTTATTCTTATTCTATTATTCAACCATATTCTATACTTCCTTCATATTCTCCATTTATTCTTATTCTATTATTCTATTATTCAACCATATTCTATACTTCCTTCATATTCTCCATTTATTCTTATTCTATTATTCAACCATATTCTATAATTCCTTCATATTCTCCATTTATTCTTATTCTATTATTCAACCATATTCTATTTTCCTTCATATTCTCCATTCATTCTTATTCTATTATTCAACCATATTCTATAATTTATTCATATTTCCATTTATTCTTATTCTATTATTCAAACCATATTCTATACTTCCTTCATTTCTCCATTTATTCTTTTCTATTATTCTTTTATTCTTATTCTATTATTCAACCATATTCTATTCTTCCTTGATAGTCTCCATTTATTCTTATTCTATTATTTTAACCATCTATACTTCCTTCATATTTTTTATTCTTATTCTATTATTCAACCATATTCTATAATTCCTTCATTTCTCCATTTATTCTTATTCTATTATCAAACATATTCTTTATTCCTTCATATTCTCCATTTATTCTTATTCTATTATTCAACCATTCTATACTTCCTTCATATTCTCCATTTATTCTTTATTCTATTATTCAACCATATTCTATTCTTCCTTGATAGTCTCCATTTATTCTTATTCTATTATTTTAACCATATTCTATACTTCCTTCATATTCTCCATTTATTCTTATTCTATTATTCAACCATATTCTATACTTCCTTCATATTCTCCATTTATTCTTATTCTATTATTCAACCATATTCTATTCTTTCTTCATAATCTCTATTTATTCTTATTCTATTATTCATATTTCTTTCATATATTCTATTTTTTCTCTTCTTTCATATTCTCTATTTGTTCTTCTTCTTTTTCTCTTTTTCTTTCATATTTTCAATTTATTCTTTCATTATGTCTTCTTTTTCATTTCCTTCATTTCTTCTCATTCTTTTCCTTTTTTCATATTTTCAGTGTATTCTTTTATATTCTCCATTTCTTCTTCTTCTCTTCTCTTTCTTTCATATATGGATCCCGGATGTTCTGGAAGACCTCTAACCAAATTCAGAATAGAGGCAAAGCATCAGTGACCCGAGACCATCTCACCCTCGTTGGACAAAGCGATGCTCTTCACCACAACCTTTGCCACCAATTCAACGTTACATGACAAAGGCCATCCCCTTCCCGCGTCTCACTGAGCACACTTTCAGTAACATTTTCATTATAACTCATTTATAAAAGATCCTGATGGTTCTCCTTAAGAATATTAACTCGGAGTTATCCTCAATCCTAGCGGAACTATTTAACCGCTGATTCAAAGAGAAATCCTTCCTAGGTCTGTGGAAAGCCCGGTTATCAAGAACGCGGATTGGGGAGGCATTCATCCCCTTTACAAGAAGATTGTTGATCACCTCAATAGTTCTAACCTCTTAAACGACAACTAGTATGGATGTCGATCTGCCCGACCCAATGCTGATATCCTAACTTCGATTGCTCACAGAATTAGTGCGGTATTAAATATATTTCAGGGACAGTCACAAATATTTCAAAGGCTTCTGACACGATGTGACATAAGGGGTTACTGGTCATGATTTCTGTTATGGTCCGGTTCCTTGTACCACGGTAATGGTCCAAGGTAGAACCAATAAAGAAGAACTCGAACACGGATATGGAATAACACAGATATATTACAAACAGGAATATATAGAGAGAAGTAGAAAGTGTCAGTACGAACAATCAGGTTTAGTAGTACAGTGTAACCCGGATGTAAGAGACCCGGATATAAGAGAAACCCGGATATAAGAGAGATTTTCTCTGGTCCCAAATTAGAGCCTGTGTTAATGTATATATAACAGACCAAACCCGGATATAAGAGAAACCCGGATATAAGAGACTTCTTCTCCGGTCCCGACAACTCTCTTATATCCAGGTTAAACTGTAATTGTCTGAACGTGACTCTGTTCGGACTGCCTCGGACTCGACTGACTGACGCCTCTGACTGACTCCTGACAGACCTCACTCTAGACTTCAGACCTCACTCCAGACTTCAGAAGGAACTCCCTGCTTCCTCTTGGGGCGCAGTATTTCTTACGTATGGAATAGTCCATTATGTTATTATGGGTAAGGTCCCATAACAATCTCTAACTATGGAGTCACTGAAAGAGTCTTCGCAGTTTTAAAGTTTTTCCAAACGCGGATGTCGCTAAAGGTAATTGTTAATGACCAAGTCTTTTGAATCGCAGGCGATCAATGCGGGCGTCCCTTAAGGTTTGCTTCTCGATCCAACCCTCTTCCTACTCCGCATAAATGATCTAAGAGTATACTCCGATTACTTGTAAATATCTATGTTGATGATACAACGGCATATGGGTGCATCTCCCAAATCCTCGATGACCAGAGCTGGGCAGCTGATCTCTCCTCTGAGCTAACTCTTTCAGATCAGTAGAGGGGAAACTGGCATCCACTATCTCAAAAAAACAAACTAGTGATCTCATCACCAATCGGAGGCAGAACTTTCACCAATCGTGATGAACGAATGTTAATCAGGGACGTCCCGTCCCTTTAGCGCCTATTGGGCCATATACTCAACCCAGACCTCAAGTGGAACTCATACATACGATCCATGGCTAAATCTGCTGAAAAAAATAGTCGGTATCGTGTAACGCTCCAAGAAAATAATTGAATAATTTACGACTTACTTTATTAAAAATAATTAAAAACTAAAAAAAAACTCCTTCGTATTTTTACATAATGCCTTTTGAAATGTCTTATTTGAAGAAAATATTCACTAATTAAGGTTTGAATCCTTAATAAATTACTTTTATTTAGTTATAAAAAAGGTTATGATTTTCTGGTGCTGAGTTGTCTCAGTTCTGAGTCGTCCCGGCTCTCAGTTGGCCGTGTTGAGTTGTCCCATCCCGGTTTAATGATTTCACAGTTTTTTTACGGCATTAAACTGGATAAACTTTGGTCAATACTCGAAATGAGTCTCATCAGTACAAACAATTAGATGAATCTTCTTCACTCTCTATATGATGGTTCTTGGGCTGTTATCAAAACTGAGCTCGGTGTTAGTTGTTTCGTTTCGTTCCGATCAAAAATGGCGTTAAACAAGGTGACATGTTATCAGCCATTCGCTTTTGTGTTTCATTGCCAGCTGTATTGTTCTAAAACGGAACATGAGAGTAGTATGAGCAGTTTCTTTACTGGAGTGCAAATAATATCAAACCTATCATAAGCAGGGGATATAGACCTAACAGACAGATATATAAATAATATGGCTTTATCTTTTTTGCGGACACACTTAAACTCATTATGAGAGGCGACAAAGAGATGTCTGTTGTAATCGGACCTGTCGCTCTTGCCTAGCCGGAATAAGTTATTCTTGCACTCTAAAGAGAGCCAGAGACAAGATTGCGGTTTCACTTGGTATTTTCGTTCTGACACAAAAGCTTCGATACGGGTTTTACCCAGGAAGATACCCCAGTAGGACATTTTTAAACATGGTGATTAAAAATATCATTCCAAGGTCATCGCGAAGGAAATTATGAAATGAGTGCCAGACAGTGCGTTGTTAACAAATAGATGTTCAGTTAATATATAGAGTCCTTGCCTGATGGAAGAGCGGAAAAAGATATTGCATGGTCTGAGTTGCCAAAAGGGCAGATCTGTAGAGCTTGACATGAGTCCGGAGAGGAGGTAAGGAAGAAGAGATAACTGAATTCAATAGATCAAGTAGAGAATATTATTTTTAGTTATATTCGATATGATAGGCATTGGAGCCACCGAACACAAAGATACATGCAGATGAGAGAGGGTCTTATCTATACGATCAAAAACTTTATCTAACAAACAACAATCATGAGAGAAAGAGGACTATAAAGGAAGCAGAAATAACTGAGTTTAATAGTGAAAATCGCAAGCACATGTAAGAATAATCCGGAGACTCAAAAAACAGTTCTCTTGACAGTGAACATTGGCACCTTTGTCAAGTATGTGGTACCTAGAGTACTTTCCAAAGAGATGAAGAGTGTCAGGAACAGGGTATTCAGTGGAAGAGATTGAAAACTTCTGATTAGTTTCACAGAGAGCTAAGAAATCTGAAAAACTTCCAAGAGAAACGATTCTACACTGCAGAAATTGATACTAATACAACAAATGTTGGAGATAGAAAGATTCAGGGGTGTGTTTTGTTTTGTTTTCTTTTTTTTTTTGCAAGCTAGCTTAGTTTTAATTTGTTTATTTTCTTTCAGTCGGCCATGATATTTAAGGCAGAACATATCTCTTTAGATTCGTGACTGGCAAAGCAGATTTCCCGTAGTACGGTGCCGTTACGTTTTGCGGTAGACTGGTTGACAAACAAGGCTATAGGACTCGGCCTGCCCTGCTATTCAACCCATAGCTGTGGTGAGGAGAAATAGATTCATACCTTTCCCAAGGATATTTGCGCGCAAGTGAATGTAACGACATAGAAAAACCAAAACACTCTTAAAAATGTCACCGATTTCTCCACACTATATCATCTGGGCTTACATTGAAACCCCGTTTTTTCGTACGATCAACGAGATTAAGCATCCTCGAGACTGGTCACTACCTAGAGGGGAGACCCGCTTGGGAATACTAGGTGTTGTAATGTAAAAAGTAATGAGAAATCGTCGAGCAGAGTTCCAATTCCATTTGGATATGTGATATTCACTTACGCACAAATGCCCTTGAGAAAAGTATGATCTCACTTCCGCCCCGTGCTGAAGGTTATTTAGTTGTACTTGTATCATTAAATCTTTATTATTATTTTTAAAAAAAGGCTTAAAATCTAAAAATATTTACTGGCTTTAAATAAACTGCAAAAGGCTGATAAACCATAAAAAACAAATCAATCAATCAATAAGCCACTTTCATGCAGCCGTAACATAACTTCCATGTTTCTTTTCTACAAATATTTTTATAGCAATTGTTCTAATGAACTTTTCTACTTTCACGAAATTAAGCGCAGTACTAGATTGGTCGCTAGGTCTCATCATCCTATTGTTCAAATTGCTAGATGTAACCATAAGTTCTATGTGGATAGTTTCTTCTATTGCAATACTCGCTTTTTGAAATATCTTACGATTTCTTGATTATTATTATTATTATTATTATTTGTACTTGGTAATTATTTTATCGTAAAATAACTGTTCAATGTTTCAGCTTTTTCCTCACTTGTCATGCCGACTTTAGTAATATTAACGTTAGTTGGTACTAATGTAATGTTTATTTTTACTATTCATCCTGTATAATCGATTATAGTTTCTGTTATTTAAATTTTTTCTGTATAATCGATAATTATTTTCTATTTTTTTAACCCTGTTCCAAACAGCTTATTTTGGAG